TTTGTACCAAATTAGCACTAATTTTACTGGTTTGCATCAATATAAACACTTATATTACAGATTTGCACTAAAATAAGCACTAACTTTACTGATTTGGTACCAAATTAAGCACTTATATTACAGATTCGAACTAATATAAGCACCAATTTTACAAATCTGCGCTAATTTAAGCAATAAAATGCGCTAATTTCACTGATTTAAACTAAAATAAACCTTAGTTTCACCGATTTTCTGAAGTAAAAGTAATAACTGAACTAATTCGTACCGAATTGAAAAAAATATTAGTAATTTCTGCACTATTTTAGACTAACTTTTAATGATAATTTCGGCACCAAGTTTAATTATAAATATTGAATTTTAACGCGTTCTTAACATAATTATATCAAGAACCTGTTAAAGCCGGACAATTAACTATTAATTGCTGTTAAGTAAACGCTTATAACATATTTTTTCTGTACATTCTGTGCATATTTAAAGACGGACAGACAGTGTGAAGATGTATACAGTAAAACCTGTTTAAGACGGAACCTGTCTAAATCGGAAAATATTCTTAAGTATGGAGCGAAGAACCTGTTCAAGACGGAAATATGCCAAACAGAAGAAAATATTCGACATCGAACGATTCCGGTTTGCACAGGTTTCACCGCAAATCTGCAATATCAAAAATACACAAATAATTGTCATACAGTATCCTTTAGAATGGTTTTAAAGCATAAATATTAAAAAAAATAAATGCCGAATGTCTTCGAGAGAGAATTTTTTGACAGGTTCTACATCCATCCAAAAATTTTATGGTCCGTGGAGCGAGGTAATTCCCATAATACTTCAATTACAACGGCTCCTCAGGCCATTCACTAAACACTGATTCCTCATTAATCAAGTGAAATATTCCATATATAAAATACAACAAAACCTGTGTAAACCGGATATATTTTGTTCCGTTCAGACAGGTTTTCGTTTTAAACAAGTTCCGTTTTGGACAGGTTTTACTGTAATAATTCTTAATCAACTAAATTTAAAAATTGAGCCATTAATATACAATGAAAAATTATTGAATTTTAACAGGTTCTTAACATAATTATATCAAGAACCTGTTAAAGCCGGACAATTAACTATTAATTGCTGTTAAGTAAACGCTTAAAACATATTTTTCTGTACATTCTGTGCATATTTAAAGACAATTGTAAGCTCTTTCCAGGGTTCAGAGGTATGAAGGTTTTATGGTAGCCCATATTTTCCATAGGGCCCTAGAGAGTAATTGTGAAAAATTTGGTGTAGACCAAAGGGTTTAGAAGTGTATAGAGAACTGACGACCAGATAGACATTGTTTTTACGTATATTTATATATACACCTATGCATAAAAATAGAATGTCTATTCTCTGTACACTTCTAAACCCCTTTGACTGATCTTCATCGAATTTTTCGTAGTTACTCTATAGGGCCCTATGGAAAATATGGGCCTTATTACATATGATGTGATTTCCATCATAGTTATCATTATATAATAAAAATCAGGATGGTTTTTAAATTATAAGAGACATTTATTGCTTTAGTTTTGGACAACTCGGGTTTTTAGGGCCTTCAGAGTCTCATACATGTATAAATATATGCCTATAGTCCTGTTCTTGCATTCAGAATCTAGTATTAGTTGGTATCCTAAAGCTTGGGAACGGTATCAAATATCCTGTGATGAGGGATTTATATTATATAAACTTATATAAAAGAGAACTCTTGGGTCTTAATTTATCTAGGGCCTTGCATAGCTGAAAACTGTCATATATAATAATGTAATAATTATTCTATATGAAATTATGTTTACACGTGGCGCCATCTGTTATCGATTAGAAACGAAACTTTTAACTATTATTTTGACTTGTACTTTAAATATTGTATGTATGATATTACAAATGGTATTATTACAGTGTTAAAATGCCTTTGGGTATATTTTTTAATTATTTAATATCTGTAAAAAATTGTAATCATTATAAATGAGTGTTAAAGTGTATTTCCTTAAAATTTATTAGCATATATTAGGCAAAAATTATGCTGGACAGGGCTGGAATTACACTTCAGGCCCTAAGATATCATATAACATGTACCAGGCCCTTCTCTGCCACCAAATAATAATATATGTAAGAATATGAGGCTCTAATCTATCATATACCAGGCCTTTCCCTCCACTAAATAATGATAAATGTAACAATATGAGGCCCTATCATACAATCCTTTTTGACAAGGTGTAGTACGTTTAGAAACCTGTCTGTATGTAATGCAAACTTCAAATCTTGAAAAATTACAAGTGTATTATAAAGAGCAGAATAAAATCAAAACAACTTAAGGATATATTATCTCGTTTATTTAATTCTTAAAAGGATTTTATTGTATATCGTGTGATTTGATTATAAACATTACAATACTTGCAAATAATCTCGATCCTTACTTTAAAATTTCATGACGGACGCATTTTATGTTAAGAATTTAACTGCTCTGGTTCTTCCGAATCGAAATATTTTTCCTCTTCGTCCATGTCGCAGATTGTGATGTCGTCGTAATCAGCATTGTCGTCCACATTACTGAAACGACATCAATTATTAGAATGTTTAACAATTAAACAATATGAGGTCTTCCGAAATGAATGCTACCATTTGAAATTACCATGCAAGTTTCATCTCTCATCTGTGTCTAATGCCTCTAGGAAGTGCCGTAAAGAAAAATGGCAATTCTGCAACAGAGAAGGTGTTTTGTGTTTCACAGCTCACAAAGTCCGAATCATTCATTATTATGCAACATGAGTAACCTACGGAAATTGTAGAATTGTGGCTGCCATTGCAGCAACAACAGATATGCCACAGAGAACATAGGAAGAATTTGAAGTTGGATGTGTGCCGTGTGATGTGAGGTGCACGTATTGAGAAATTGTAATGAAACTTGGAAAATTATCCAATGTTTTAATGTATATTACATTGTTCTCGGATAATAATTAACATAATTACAATGATTTAAAATGATAGCATTCTTTTTGGAAAGTCCTGTATATATAATTGATTTTAAAACTTAATAGTTAAATAAGAAGAAACTGAAAACAGTTCTTCAATTCTTACATAAAAATTACCATTATAATATTAAATATTTGCTTCATATATTTATATGAAATGCATTGACTTAACATATTATCATCATAATTTTTATAAGACAGACCAAAAGTTAGTTAACTATTGTAGAGACTAAACTGCAATTAATCGGTTAAATTCAGTTACATTTTTTATCATGCTTCATCGTTCTAAACTCAGTTTACGATTCACATTCACAAGTGTACCCCAAACATGCAAAATAATAGTTAACTGACTTTTGAATCAACCTATATTATGTAATTAAATATAGAGAAAAAATATATATTGTAGTATATTATAAAAAGTTTAGGATTTTATTAATATTAAAACACTTGAGAGAGTTACTTTTAGAATAGAATCCAGACTAACTTCTTAACAATGTTTATTGTATGCTGTTACCCAAGTCACAGGCTATTATATAATGTAATGTGTAAAACTTACATATTTAGAAGACAAACTTTAATGTGATGGCTTCTAAAGGATAAAAGTGGTAACAATAGATATAGTACGGGGTGTTCGAAAAGTTACTGTGCAATGAGAAATTTATAACGACAGTATGACGTTGCGTACAAGACCTGTAAGTGGTATGTTCTGTGTTTCCACTTTCAGGCAGATGGGATTTCCGTTTGGAAAACTTCTTTGTCAATTATATAGCCTCTCATGAAATCTGGCCTGCTAGGTCTCTGGACCTCTCTTACCAAATCTTGGGGCCTCTAGTAGACATTTTGGGAATTTGCTGTAGGAGAAACTGTAATATCATATGTAGAACTTCTCTTTTATTTCTTCTTCTACTGCACTGTAACTTTTCAGACATTTGTATTCTAACTTCTGTAACAGCTGAGAAAAAATAAACTGGTTTAGAAGTTCAAACTTTCTGTGAGCAGTGTTAATTACAGTCATTTTATTTTATTTTAGGGTTATTTTGGAAACTTTTTTAAACCATTTTCAAATATTTTAACCACTTACTGTCACTTTATTTTTAAATTAAATTCAAACTCTGTTAACTTCAACTACATCCTATCTGTAAAATCACTTCTGAAAATCTTGCATTTACTTTTTTGTGATTAGAATAATATTTACAGTGTCTGAAAAGTCAGCAATCATAGGAGAAATCTTATTTATTTATTCATATTAATACGGTACTTTATCTACAGAATGGGAAAGGAAACAGAATGGGATTGGATTATAATGACAGAACAAGGCAATGCAAAAGTTGGGTGATCAGTCAATGAGTTTACCTCCCGGGAGGTTCTCTATCAAAAATTGGCCTATTTTTAAGTGCTAAACAGATAAAAAATACAAGGAAAACTTTACATGGCCAACCTGTTGATTAAGAACAAACTCACAACCAATTAATAATGAAAGAAAATGTATCAAGCATGTTCATTGAAATTGTGTGCTGTGTATTTGTAGAAGATAAAATTTCTTTTACAATTCTTAAATATCCTATACAGTATATTGTATTACCAGAACTTTGTATGCTTTCCTTAAAAATGTACAGAAAATTATTTGTGATATTAAAAAACTATTCAAATACAAAGAAATTTATACTTATTAAAAAATTCACCATATTTATGTAAAAGTTGGAAAATTTTATGTACAAACAAATAAATGTACAATTTAAATTGTAAATAAACATGCAGTATTCTTGAATGTTTATTTATGTAAGGAATTCATTTACATAAAATAATTTATGCTCACATTTTTTGATAGGGAATTAACCTAATAATAACTTTACTGTTCAAATTAGTCGTTATCAAGTTGGTTTGTTTTATTTTTTAAAAAAGAATTTGTAAAAATAACAATCATGTATTAAATTATTCAACCATTTCAAACATGCAATAAATTATTATATTTTATTAGATTGTTCAGAAAGTAATTTAGTTTTTTTTACCGCTAGACGAATTAGTAGTACTTTTTCCACCATTTTCATTCTAAATCGTATTATCATTATATATTTTGACAGCTAGCATTTTAAGGCTTATTTGTAAAAATTTTGTTTGATTTTTTGCAATTGTTTATTTTTTGTGTCCCATCAAATATGGAAGATCGAAAGCAGCATTTTCGGCATATTTTGCTCTTTTATTACCAAAAAGGTAAGAATGCTGTTCAAGCAAGAAAAAAATTGTNTGTGCAATTGTTTATTTTTTGTGTCCCATCAAATATGGAAGATCGAAAGCAGCATTTTCGGCATATTTTGCTCTTTTATTACCAAAAAGGTAAGAATGCTGTTCAAGCAAGAAAAAAATTGTGTGACGTGTATGGAGAAGATGTATTGACAGAATGACGGTGCCAAAACTAGTTTACAAAATTTCGTTCTGGCAATTTCAATATTGAAGATGCACCACATTCTGCATGGCAGTCAAAGCCAATTAATACAAAATAAAGGTACTGATTGAAGCAAACTGCCGAATAAGTACACTTGAAATCACTAACAGATTAAATCTGTCAAATTGAACTGTTTATGATTACTTAAAACAAATTGGTTTTGTTTCAAAGTTCGATGTATGGGTTCCATATGTTCTTAAAGAGAGATGCTCTCTTTGGTGGGATTTTAAGGAAATTTTTTTTGGAGCTTTTACTAGACAATTTAACAATTGATTTGAAAGTGTACTGCCATCGAGTAAACAAATTGAGTAATATCATCAAACAGAAAAGGCAGCCAGAATTGATGGACCAAACAGGTGTAGTGTTTTACCATGATAATGTCAAATTTCACACAAGTTTGGTAACTGGTCAGAAACTGTTATAACTTAGATTGGATGTGCTATCATACCAATCATACTAGCCAGATGGAGCACACTCAGATTATTACTTGTTCCAGTCTATACAATTTTTTTTAACTGTAAGACATTTACTTGAAATGACAATGTCAAAAATCACTTGGATCAGTTTTTTTGTAAGCAACGATCAAAACTTTTATGAATGTGAAATCATGCTACTATCAGAAATGATAACAACAAGTATTTGACCAAAATGGTTGATAAATAATTCAATAAAATATTCATTTATTATAAAAATATTGTTGATAAAAATATATGAAATTACTTTCCGAACAACCCATTATATAAAATTAATGTATTTGACAATTCGGACTATTAAATAATTCACTACAGTAGAATTTGTGTACTGTAATGATGGATCAGTTGTCTAATGTTATTATTAAAATCCCAAAACAGATACATTAAAATACACTGATAATCAGCATTGTGTTATAGTTATCATTGTGTAACTAGGCATCTTTTTACAGTATCAGTCTCAATGTATATCGAATAACTTGCAATTATTATGTTTAGTACTTAATTTGTCTACATGGACCTAATTTTATTACTAGGACTTATTATACTGGTCTTTATTTTTCACCTGTAAAAAATAAAGACCGTCTTTTCTGATATGTTTTCTTAAATTGCAGAACAAAGTCACCAGTATAATAAGTCCTAGTAATAAAATCCTTGTAGACAAATTAAGTACTAAACATAAGATAAGGACACAAAGATATATAATTTGTTGCAATTATTATGTCTTAACTAGAGCTTGAATGCTAGTAACTTTAATTGTTATTTGCTGACACTACTGTGGTTTAATTTTTGGCATTTCTTATTTCATTTATGTGATAACTGTTATGATAAGAATTGTTAACATATAATTTAACAACAAGCAAAAAACACTGTATGATATCAACTGATCTTTCATGATCAGTTTATCTTTTTCTTAACACCATAAACCAATTCAACTGTCAGTAATTCAAAAATAGAAAATAGTTACTTTGAAAACAAGTAACCAGTGTTGTTTTAAGTATTAAATTGTTTCTTATTATAATTTTATTATCTTGGAATGATGATCAATGTTTTTAAAAAAGATTTTAGGTAAATGAACAAGTAAATAGAATTTTCCTTTTGAAACTGAGGATAATCACATAAGTAGAAACAATAATCTATATAAAATTTACTCTTATTCAGGATAAAAATGTTTGTTTTGATTAAATTTAGTTGCTGGAAAAGTGTGTAATGTGTATAATAGTGTCTTCTTATGTATTTTATAAAATTATTAGAACCATGTCGTGATTTAGGTTAGCCTTCCAAATTACTACATACCTATTAAAATACATTTTGCCCCATTACTAAAGTTTTATACTCTTTCAATGAATATCAAAATCCATATTTACTTGTTATTAAGACTGAGGCTTATTTACAATTAATGACACTCTAATTTGATATAATCACACAAAGAGTAAAGCCACTCCCAGGTTTAGAAGTTTTTTATTGATGTCAGTTTGTCAAAGGTGCATTTGGCCCAAAATGCATAAACTGTCACATTAATTGTGAATAATCCTCAATCTTAATAATCTTAATAAAAAGTTTTATACATAATTTCTCATTAAAGTTCTGTCAAATCGTTTTCCTTTTACAAAAAGGTCACATAGCTTAGTTGAAAAAGAAAACAAAAAATGTATATAAAGAAAAAGAAAAGTTTTATTAGAACTTTTATATTTACATAAAATTCCATGACAATACTCTTAAATAAATCATGTAATTCTGTCTAAAAATATTTACAATTAATTAGCTGTTACGCAAATCAAACTTAATTAATATGAATAAAATTCACTTTCGGTTTCCCAAAACAGAGAAAAATTTTTTATTAATACATTTCTCAATTTAATTCAATAGAAACATTCTTAATTTATCAAATAATCTGTCAGAATAGATAAGATAGGAAAACTACTTTGAAATGCTAAATGCTTAGCATTTTTTTAGTAATAAAATTAGATGTTACTTATAGTTTTAATTAAAATAATACTTACTTATAATCAAAGTCTTTATCTTTACCGGATAAGAAACGTTCATACATCACTGACACAAATTCATTGCGGAAGAACTGCTTGTCTTCTTCATTTATTTTAGATTTTTCTTCACAATCTACAATATATTCAAATATATATATTTTAATTATTCTTAATTCATTATTATTAAACAAATTTGAATTTGTGAATTAAATTTAAAGACATTTCAAAAGATAAGAAAAAAAAAAAACAATAAATAATTGATTTTAAAAAGTACATGAATAAAATTCACATAAAACATCTAAAAAAATAAAAATACAGAAGAAACTAATTCATTTTCACACTTCTACTATGTCCAACCACAGGAACTTTGCAGAGATGATGTTTTATTACAGGCTACACATCTGCAAACTTATGTAAAATATTTTGAAATGCAAAAGAAGACTTTTGTTCTTGGTGTTTTGACATGATGAAAGTGTAAAGATAACTTAATTTATTCTATATTTTTAATTGTGTAAAAATACCATCAGCCATTTTAATTGAAATTACCTAAAAAATTGATTTTCTGTATAAACTACAGTGTGTTTCCAAAATAGTGAAACAGAAAAATACAGAAAAACAAGGCATATAAACATATGTCTGGAAACAAATGTTTTCAAGAAATCAAATCTCTTACGACAGTATCAGGAGCGAGACAGATTTTATTATATAACTCTCTTGTTAATGCTAGTTTTATGTTGAAACATCTCTCTAATGCAGTGATTCTCAACCACTGGGCTGTGGCACACTAAAGTGCCGCAAGATTTTTGAAGTGTGCCGCCACTGCAAATATCCATACATGAACGTCACACAAGTAGTTTAATTGTTTCTACTTTCCTAGAGCGCATTTGTAAATTGTAACTGGTAACTGCCAGTAGTTACCAAGGCATTTAGAAAATGTGACCTAAATAACCAACTGCATTTAAAAATCATTGTTATAATGTTACCAGTTGTCCTGCAGTACTTACCGAAGTAATAGTGTGTGCTGCCAAATTTTTAAATTATTAAAAGTGTATCATGATGAAAAAAAGGTTGAGAATCACTGCCCTAATGTGATATATTAATATGCAAAATATTTTAAAATGATGTGAACACTAGATAAATATTTTTTTGTTTCTTTTCATTTAATTAAATTAGCAATGAAAGTGACTTTGAAACAATGAAGAAGTGGGATTGTTTGATATGTAAACATGTTACATTGTATAGGCATACATGGAATAATTTGCACATGGTACACCAGTGAACCTCAAACAAATTTTTTGGTGACTACTCATAATATATTATAGGTAGCCCTTATCTTATACAGGTCTACCCACCCGTGGTATAGGATAGCCATAAAAAATGGATCCTCTTAGATGATGAAGCATTGGTTATGTGAGTTTCCATACTATTTCATGAATAAAATCAAGTTTTTATATGTTTTCAGTAATTTTATTTTTGCTTAGTTTGTCCCATTTTTTCCAATATGAAGATTACAATAATTTACTCAATCAGTTAGTGCGGCCAGTTTTATATGGGACATGCCATATTATCCATTTTGTTCCCTTATAAAACAATCTATCTTAATCTCAATTTCAATTTGTTATATAGATGTTAACATCTTTTAAAGCATCCTGTATTGAGCATAATATTAAAATTGTTATATATGATAATTAAAATTATACAAGAAAATTTTCAGGTCATATTCCTTTACCTAATTCATCATCACTTTCACTTTCTTCTTCCCACTGTGCACATTCAAATTCTTGTTCTTGTCTTCTTACACTACAGCCATCACTTCTGTCCAAATGCTCAAGCAATAATGTAGAAAATCTAGAAAAACAATGCAAAACTGTTCTTAATATGCTTCAACATCCACATTCATAACTGAGGATCCAGGGTTAGAGTAGAAGTTAACCAATAAGCATTTCTATACTAAAAGTAACGTGAATGGTAATTGGTTAACTTCTAACTCTAACTCTTCTCAGTTGTGAATATAACCATAAATAAATTGAATAAACTTAAATTTGCAATGAATGGTATGATATTATCATTAAAAATTTATAGCAACAATCTGTACAAGTAATGCAAAGGTACAGCTTAATGTAGCTTTCAGATGGGCCAATTGGTTGCATCTCCTCATTGAAATCCTTGTATTTTGAATAATTATGAAGACAAAGAGTCAGTTTGTTGGTATTAAATTTACAAAAAAGCACATTTAATATAATACTTTGAACATTATTGACATTTATATGATTGTGTAAATTAAAAATGTTATCATTTTGTATTTTGAAGTCATGCTTTAATGAGTGTGTTAGTGATATCTGTGGCAAAAAATGCAAATTGAATGGCATGTCTGTCATCAAATTGATACATAATATCTATTATCAAAATTTATGATATGTCTAATGTTATGTTATGAAAAACAAGTCATGAATAATAGCAATATTGTAGTTGTTTCCTGACTACTGATACCAGTTACACTGATAATATTGGAGAGTATTTCTGCATACAGATGATGATCCAACTTTGAAATTTCCAGTGTACCTAAGACATGACTCTTCAAGGTTATCTTGTTTTTAACTAATAACCTAAGCTCTCTTTTGGAAATCAAAAATATTCTTTTAGACTGAATTTTGAGATTAGCTTCTATATTTACACTTCTATTATCAGATCTGCTTTTTAATAAAATAGCAAAATGGCAAACTTGCTGCTCTGAGATATCCAGATTTGAGATCTACGTCAACTAGGCAATTTTTGCAAGTAGATACGTCACCACTCAAAAAACTGAATGCAATACTTCAAAATAAACACACTAAAACCAAATATATCCAGCAAGAACAAACTTTAATACATTAAAATAAACATTTTTGATAATTTTAAACTATCATCATCAGGTTCAGTTATAACAGAACTTAAAAAGGAAGATAGGGTCCTTTTAAAACATCATTAGAAATTAAAATTATGTAACGCTTCCACTAGGAATGCAGTCATAAATTTTAGAGATGCACAGTCTTTATCTACATCTTGGAGATTATTTGAAATAATCTTTTCAACTATCAGTACTTTGAAAAATTTCCTTTAGTGTTCTATTGTAACTGAACCTATTAATAATGGTTTAAAACCATCAAACACATTCATTTTAATTTATTAATTAATTATAGTTGGTTCCCACTGGATAATTTTGATTTAGTGTGTTTATTTTTATGAGTATTTTGCCTTAAAATGTTTGTTCTATTTTTTATCATATGGCCACTCCTATTAAAAGCATGCTAAATGCATAATGGGCATGGAAAAGATTTACTTAGTGCTTACTTGTAGACTTAAAAAATTCTAATATAAATATTGTTTCATTCCATCTTTGAGTTATTAGTAAAAAGAAATTCTGAAGATGAAAATGTAAACTGAAAAGTTTACATAAGAACTTTTAGAACCATAAATATTGACAGTTTTTATTTATTTTTTTGTATAAGCTTCTGTTCTATGATTCTCTAACAGTGGCAATTGGTCATATTACTTATGCAATTGATGATATAGTACTATGATATTGTTACACTAACAATAAACCGTAATGTGACTTTTCATTTGTAAAATCACCTTTCTCTCTTTGTGTTTGCATAAACATGTGAATTCATACAAAAACAAAAATATAAGATGTGCATACAAAATTTTAATATGTTATTTTTATGTAAATATAATATGTAAATAATATTATTAATATTTATATACTTAATGTTTTCATCAAATTTTTCTGTCTGTTTTCTTTCTTCATCTGTCAAGAATCTACCAACCATCTGTTCGTAAAGTACAGGATTACGTTTTCGCATTTCTGATTCACTAAAATAAGTGCCCTGTTTGATCAGTCTCTGAAGAGCTTCATAACGGCGATTTTTTACTTTAACCGATTTTCTTTTTCCCGAATGCATCTTTTCAATTTCCATTACGTAGAAATTCACTTCATAGTCAGTTCTATAAGGTTCAAAATATTCCAAATCTTCATAATGGATATATTTGCCATATCTTCTAAGAAAAAGAGGAATATTTTTTTCTAGAATCTCTTTAGCAATTTCTTTTTTTTGATTAAAGTTTAAATCTTCTTCTCCTCTCTGCTGGCTTTTAAAAAACCCATCACTATTGGCAACGCAATTTAAAATGTTTTTAATTTTCTCATTTTCTATATTGTCCATTTTTGGACTTTCTTTGTTGTTTTCGACTTCCATTTCATTTTCCATATCTTTCAGTTTCATGTTTTCATATCTTCGAAATGAAATGAAATCTGAAATTATAAGTTCAAAATTTTAAATTCTTAATTATCAACATTCAAAATAGTTTGATAGAATACGTACAGGGTCTTCCAAAAGAGAATACCATTGTTTCAAAATATTGCATCAATAATTATATTAATTATTATCTGAGAACATTGTAATGTACATTAAAACATTGGAAAACTGCCCAATTTTTCACATTTGCCCATTACAATTCCTCAATGTGTGCACTTCCTGTTACAAAGCACAAATTCAAACAATACTCAAACTTCCTATACTTGCTATGGCATATTGGTTGTTACTCCTTCCACAGCAACTATAATTCTAAAGCTCCTGCAGATTACTTCTGTTGCACAATGATCACTGATTCCGACTTTGTGAACTGCAGAACTTAAAATACCTCTATTGCATAATTACTTTTTTCGTTTACAGCATTTCCTAAGGTAGGAGACAATACAACATTCGAATGCAGACAGGAGACAAAACTCAGACAGTCAAGTGGTTTACTTCGCATATGTAAGGTAATAATTAACAATTATAGTCATTTAAACTAGTAGCATTCATTTTGGAAGACCATGTGTATATATAAATCACAAAATAAATAACATAAAAATTATTTATCAATACAATAATCAATATATTTTATAATAATTTTAATACATATAATCAAGCTGAATTAATCAATTCCTTTTTAACATTGGGCTAAGCAAAAGAATGCCAACATTTTTGACCCAGTTAACTGGCCACCTATGGGCACAGAAAGTTAAAAGTCAAATGTCCAAATATTAGCATTCTTTAAACATTGCCTGCCATAAAAGGGCATTGATTAATTCAGCTTAGTAACCAAGTAATCACTTCATTGTAATTTAAAATATATTTTTCTCACTGGATGACAATAGCAATTAAGATTCATTCCTGCCATTCTAAAGGAGGTGGATCCTCAAAAAATTTTTATAAATACTTGATATAGACTTGACTAGTTCTAGCCTAACTATTTAATTAATTTCTAATGGACTTGGCTAAATTTATGATACATGTGAATAAAAGGTCCTCTTAAGTATTCATAGAGGCAAAAATCTTTTTATTTTTCTTAATATTTAAAGGTATTTTCATTGTTTTAAATTAAAATTTAAAATGTCAGTGCCAAGCTAAAATTTATAAAAGTAGAGATTACTTATGAAAAATTTCTTACATTAAAAAAAAAAAAAGCATTAGTAACTCTTGACAATTTTAATTATTAAAAAATATTTTTAATTTTTTAAATTGTACTGCCAGATTTATTAAACAAATTTAAATGTCATTTATATAAAATAGCTAACAATTTCAATTCTGTATTAGCTGTACGTTCAAATCTTTTGTCATTTTGTTACACCAATGTTATTTTAACTAACTTTGACAACTTGCAGTGTTTTTACATCAAAATTATAATATATGCTATTACGCGTCATTCACTGTGTTACTACTTCATCAAAAATTTAATTTAGAATGAAAATACACTATACTTCATCAAAAACAGTGTATTTTCATTCAACTTAGCTTAAATTTTGCATATACAGAATAGGCAAATGTCATTACGCAAGAGATTTTAGATTTAGATGCATTCATTCTGTCCAAATAACTTACACTACAGGTCTGTTTGGAAACGCTTACCAATTGGTCAATAGTGGTTAACGACATCACTGGTATTCGGTCGGTCACACACTAACCAATCCCAAAAGAACAGCGAGTCCAGTCGCAACCGGTGTATTATCAGAAACTCTATAGGTAACATTTTTGAACGACGCCCGGCAATTGAACAGGTAAGCATTTTCGAACTGACCTATTTCATCGATTCGACGTCATATTTCTTATGACAAAATGTAATAATGACGTCAGTTTGATGTAAAATGCACACTATTTAGTGAAGATGAATGTACCATGTTTCTGTTGTTTATTTTTCTTAGGGTTTTGGTATGACGTCATACAAGTTCGGAGATTGATAATATTGTAAAGGGCATTGTAAAGACAGATATTTTCAACTGTTTTACAACTTAAAATTACCTACGAATGGCTACTTTAATGAACTTCTAACCACGTGACAGACGATGTCAAGGGAACACGAGGGAAAATAAACGAGATAATAATGCATAGACACTTCTTTCCCATTCTGTATTTAGATAATTATATCGATTTATATAATATATATTACACAAAAGGATAATAAATCCTTACCAAATCCAATTATTTATGCATTTTAATTTAAGCCAACAATCACTACAACACCATTTCGTTTCTAGGATGTAAACAACTCGTAAGTGTTGCCAGTTAATCCANTAATTTTAATACATATAATCAAGCTGAATTAATCAATTCCTTTTTAACATTGGGCTAAGCAAAAGAATGCCAACATTTTTGACCCAGTTAACTGGCCACCTATGGGCACAGAAAGTTAAAAGTCAAATGTCCAAATATTAGCATTCTTTAAACATTGCCTGCCATAAAAGGGCATTGATTAATTCAGCTGAGTAACCAAGTAATCACTTCATTGTAATTTAAAATATATTTTTCTCACTGGATGACAATAGCAATTAAGATTCATTCCTGCCATTCTAAAGGAGGTGGATCCTCAAAAAATTTTTATAAATACTTGATATAGACTTGACTAGTTCTAGCCTAACTATTTAATTAATTTCTAATGGACTTGGCTAAATTTATGATACATGTGAATAAAAGGTCCTCTTAAGTATTCATAGAGGCAAAAATCTTTTTATTTTTCTTAATATTTAAAGGTATTTTCATTGTTTTAAATTAAAATTTAAAATGTCAGTGCCAAGCTAAAATTTATAAAAGTAGAGATTACTTATGAAAAATTTCTTACATTAAAAAAAAAAAAAGCATTAGTAACTCTTGACAATTTTAATTATTAAAAAATATTTTTAATTTTTTNCCAGGCCGACAATAGGGCTGCCGGGTGGTGAGGGACGGGGCCCGATATATCCGAACGGATCACCCCCGAAAAATACCTGGGGATTTTACGACCCGTTCGGATCGAACTCGGGCCCCTTAGAGCGGTAGGCTGCCATCTTGACCGCTCGGCCATCCGGCCGCTGTACAGTCCCATTGTGGGCCCGGTCAAACTCACGGTTGATACGATTAAAAAGGCCCTCTTAGTGCACACAGGACAAACATAAACCAAAAATCTGCCCATGAAAAATTCCTAGTTGTTTGCATGGATACGATTCCGAATCCTTCAGAGCGATAGGATGCTGGCTTAGGGCGGTTGAGATGGTAGTTTACCGCTCTGAGAACCCAGAATCGATCCCGACGAGCCGCTTTGGAGACCCGAAATTGAATCCGGACGGATTTCTAGAGTGGTCCGTTCGGAATCATCCTGAGCCGGGAGGTGAAGGACGGGCTTGGATATGGAGGGCCCCGTCCTTCATTATCCAGCCGCTCCATTGTGAGTCTGGCCAAACCACAGTGGGCTTGCTGAAAAGGCAGAAAAAGTTATGAAAAATCAGCTGCCGTTACAATTATTACAAGACAAAACTGTCAAACGAATATAAAAAGAATAAAACCGATGCCAATTATGGTGTCCTTTGTAATTTAAATTGTATTGCTCAAGAATTATTAGATAGTTCGTGGTTACTTCAACAATCACTATCCCAAATCAGTAGATAGGTTAGCAATATCCAATAACATAATTAGAATTAACGGAACATCTTTTGCAATTTCCAATTTTTTTTTATTTTATTCTTCGTAAGATCTACTGGTTTACTATCAGCCTTAAATTACAATTATTACGCGTCTTCTAATTATTAATTAATAATTAAATTCATTTACCTGTATTAATTATTGAATTAAGTTTGAAACTCTTTTAATAAATAAAACCCAAGAGTTTCTTTACACTGATTACCACATGATATTATTTTCAAGAATATCTGAATTCTGAAAACCATTTAAATATTTTCAAGTTTGGAGAGAAATGGAATTATTGAACGAGGAACAAATTAGAAAACTTGAAGAAATCAAAAACTCGTATAATGAAGAATTGAAACAACTTAAAATGGAACTAAATAAGGTAATTAATAGGTTTGTTTGGTTAATGTATGGGAGATCAACCATGGTGTTCAGTAGTTCAATTCAATTTCAAGCATTATTTGAGGGCAATCACGAAGCCAACATGAGCTCCATGCAGTGGCTTAAGAGTTTGGGATAAAAAAAATTCAAAGTAATAATTTCTCGGTAGTGATCTATCGGAAGTATATTGGGCCTCATTCCTCACCACCCTGCTGCCCCATTGTCGGCCTGAACGAACTCATAATGGGCTTGCTAAAATGTTTGCTTGTTTAGTTATGGCAACGCAACACTTGGGCAATCTGCCTAGGGGGATGCCTTCCGGGAGGTCTTTTTAAGAGAAACTGGCCCGTATTTAGACATTACAGACGTGCAGAATACCCGGAAAACTCTACGTGTCCAGCCTGTTCGAGCGAGGCGCGAACCCACGACCGAATTCCCAGTGTTCAGGGAACGAAGACCGCTTGACCACTGGTGGGCCAGGCTCGCTAAAAAAGGCCGTCTTATCTACAAGATGAAAAGAGTTTTAAAAAAGCAGTGCCCTTTCCCTTTCGACATTTAAAAATCTGTAAAACTGCAATTATTGCAAAATTAAAATATAAAATACTGTAGAGTCATTTGCTACAAAAGTGGAACTATTAGTTTGAGGAGCATCTGCATATTGAGGAACCAGGAGCACCATATTTCTAAATAAGTTACTAGCTCCACGATTGTATTAATACGTCAGTATTTTGTTAAAGAGTTCATGGTTGATCTAAATTTTCTCATTTCGGCTAATGGATCACTCATCAAGCTATAGAACAACTCATTAACCAAAACTATTAATTATAAAAATCCAGATTAGATTCGAAGCCAGACTTTTACGCTTTAGAATGATATATCCGCCAAACATTTGCCTAGAAATTTTAAATAATTAATGTAAGTATAAATTAATTTCAGGTAACTGATGAATACGAAAAACATAAAGAAGAAATTAAGGATGCTAAAAGAAAAATATTTCAGAATAAAAACGAAACTTTTATGACGAAGGTAAAATATTCCAAGAAGATTGAAGAGCAGAGAGATGAAAAAAGTAAATTAAAAAAAGAAGAAAATCTCATTATCAATAAAGTAATTTCATTTTGTAATGCTCAAGAAAATATTACATTAAAAAAATAAGAAATTTTTAATGTTTGCTTTTAGTTGAAAACAAGGATTCCTCGTTTGGAATTTTGCACAAATAATATGAGCAGTCGTGCAATGTCACTTCGCTCGAAAATGAAAGAAATTAACGAGGAAAAAATTCAAGAGCAAAGCAAAGTAAAATCTATTTTTACAAATTGTTAAGCTTAACGAGCTTCTTGAGTGCAGTACGCGAAAAGAACACGTAATTAATAGATACAGCTACAATATTGCCGAATGACCGAGCGGTTAAGGTCTGGAGCCTATCGCTCTGGAGGACTTGGAATGTCCAGGTCCTCCAGATCCGGATATGTCGGGCCACATAATTTAGAACCAGGCCGAACCCATAAAGGGCTTGCTAAAAAAGACTCTTCGTGCCCGCGATAGGAAAGAGTTGAAAAACTTGGCCACGAAGAATTAAAATTTTATTTTGATTCGGATCGGAATTATCCCGATTTTTTCACAAGTAGATTGGATCGGGGCACCGTTTCCTGTCCTTTAAACCAAATTAGTCAATTCAATTGAGTTGCTGAGTGGATAAAACACTGTAAAATGATAGTTGGTCGCGGGTTCGCGCCTCACCAATGAGTTGATCGCGTGGAGTTTACAGAGTTTTCTTCACGTGACTAACATCTAAATAGGAGTCAGTTTTCCATATAAAGTCTTCCTGAGAGGCACTTCTTCATGGCAGATCGCCCATGCGTTGCATTACTTATTTCATCAATCCAATTTATTCTTCAAATTCTCTATGATTTAACTATTAAACCTTGTAGTTTAATTAGAATTAAAGTAATTTAAGTTTATTTATTTAAATTGTTTGAAAATAACCATAATGTAAGTTTTATTCTGTATAAAAAGAAAAAGTCATTAATTTTTTAATTAATTCATTTACAGATGCAATCTCTTAAAACCACATTGGATGAATATTTAACAGATTTAGATAAATTAATTAAAAATAAATTGACTTATAAACCGGGTGAGCTGAGATTAGAACTGATTAATTTATATCGAAAATATGTCATATTTAGAGAACAGGTATTCTATAATCCACAGAATTTTCTTTATCTATATTTATAGAATTTTACCATGGCTGGATTAACCATAGAGCAAAATAAGCACGTGCTTAGGGCATCAAAAAAAGGGCCACCACAGAAATTTTTCATTGTCTGACTTACCATTGACCATGTGGTACAAAACTGCAAATGGAACAGCTAAACCAAGGTGCAAAAAAAGGGGGGACCCACAATAAATGAAAAAAAAAACATTAAAGTATTTGCTAGAATCAGTAAAACCTGCGTAAATATGAACCGAATACTTTTCCGGTTTCGCAGGTTTCCGTTTTATTCA